ACGACCACGACCACGACCACGACCACGACCACGACCACGACCACGACCACGACCACAACCACAACCACAACCACCACGACAACAACAACCACCACGACAACAACAACAACCACGACAACCACAACGACAACAACGACAACGACAACAACGACAACAACAACAACGTGGTTGGAGGTGCTCAGTCGAATGGTTGCTGTCATGATCCAAGAATGATCAACACTTGAAGCCTTCCAAACTTGCTGGAAGTGGAAGCGCTTCCAAAGGAGTTCTAAACAAGAACCGCAAAATGCACCCTCATTTCGCCGAGCTCTGAGCTGCGAAGAAGCAATATCCTTTTTGATCTTTTTTGTTTTTGTGAGGACTCGAGTCTCTGGATGTCTCTGGTACTATCAAGTATTATCGTATTTTCTTCCACTTTACTTTAACTATGTTTAAGTGAATATCACCTTTGACCAGCCACACTGGAGGTCCGGTTGAAGTCATCAGGTGTGCACAAACCAGCTTGCCCGAAAAGAAACCGTGGGCTGGTTGCATCTTTCTGTCACCCCCGTCACCTCCGTCAATGGGTCTCACGGAGCATCCTTAGAATGGCTGACAGTGGCAAGCACATGTAAGCACCAGCTCCAAACGGGCCCTGCTAGGCAGCCATACTATGGTAAGACCGCTTGAAACACATCGAATCCATGGGTCCCATCACTAAACAAGTGGTGGCCATCGTTTTCCCATCGATCTGCCTCTGTGGCCATCTGTACCTCAATGGTGTCCCGGATCTGAAACCTCTGCCGGTTGAGGTGGCCATCTGCGAGATGAGATTCGATGGTTTCAGTGTTGAAAGGTCTGGAGGCCGAAAGGAAAGAGGAGAGGGAGCATCCAAGTGAGGAGAGGCTCCATCCCAAGTGAAATTGGGAGCTGGGAGCATCTAAGTGTTCACCAAACTCACCGGACCAATGGACAGCTGGTACATTGAGCATTTATTGATTTATGATCTTTTGATATCCAGACCATTAATGATTAGCTTGACTTTGCCCAAAGAACGTCTGCAGTTGGATGCAGAACCACATGTCACAGGACGCCGATCACCGAGCAAAAGGACACCGGACTGTCAGTGGTGCATGCAGCTTTCATCCCCAGGCCAAAAACAAGCGCTCCAAAGGACTGGTTGATTGCTACTTGTAGCGATGCCCCACTAGTTGCTAGTAGGTATACTTGTTATTTGCCAAAGAGTGTGACCAATCAAATGACCAGGATCTATTGTTGGCCGGTCGTCGACGGTTCTTATAGCTATATATAGAACTCTGGTTGGTGGTTTCGGCTCACTGGAAAAGTATTGGAGAGTTAATTATACTCTTGCTAAAAGGAACGACAATCAAATCAACTACTGTAGTTGTGCGGTTGTGCCTTCCGGTTGTGGAAACCTGGAAAACCTGCTGTTTTAACAGCGTCGCCAGGCGTCTTGTCTTGGCCGAGATGCTGTGCTAGCACCCCTGCCAGTAGAGTCGATGCCGTACGCCCTTCAGGCGCAAACGACTCCGGAGCGTCAAACAAGGGGCGCCAACCGGTGCGTCTTGGTGGAGCTTGTCCTCTTCAACTCCACTGTTAAACCAAGAGATGCAAAGATGGATAGTCAACTAGATTTCGCACTTTCTCAGCCCTCGAGCTTTGGCCAAGCTGCCACTGGCATCGGAAAGGATCAGGACAGTCTTGCTTTGCCCAGAGCTGCTGCCAGCTTGAAGCGTAGTAAGGACTTGCCTCACCATGGGATGATACTCAGGAGCGAACCCCGCGAATGTTGCTCCAAATTCTCAAGTCAAATGCCCTGTCCATTTCGAAGGACCAACGGGGCCACCTGGACTTGTGGCCAAATCTATCCAAACTGGATTTGAGCTTGATCCTCATGTCCTCTCCCTGACATGAAATGTACAATGTTCTACAAATGTTGGGTCTTCCAAATTGTCCTCACGGAAACTTTTGAACAGGATGTGTTGAACACTTTTCAAATGTTCTCTGCATTGTCATAGAATGTCCATCAAGCCCAAGGAAACTGTGAAACAACTGTCTGCTGGCACTTTGTCCGCCCCCTTCTCCCCTGACAGGTCTTGGACAGGGGACGATGCTTCAACAAACTACACTGACGCGAGCCATGAACCAAGTCTGTGTCCTGACCCAAGTTCCCTTACCCTAGGCCCTAGGTCTGTGCAAGAGGAAACGAGCAGAACATGTTCTAATTCTCCCAAAACAAGCCATGCTCCTAACGTCGATCCAGGTGCTCCCAACGGTGCTCGCAACGGTGCGTTCGATCCCGAGCCCAGGCTTCACCCTGTCCTCATTCAAAGGATTTCCAAGGGCTGAAGTTATATGTCGTTACTATGCTGTACCAGCCAATGGCCGTCCAATTCCCCATTTTGTGGGCCACCCAACCTCGCTGGCTTCTCTGCCTGCAGCACACTCAAGCTGGTTGTGTTTGCGCGTTCAACAAGACACAACATGATGCCTCTCGTTACATTGTATATTGCCCACAAATGACCTTGTAGCAACCAGATCTCAACCAATGGAACCAGCTTCAGAGGGCACATCACACATCATGTGCCCGAACCAAGCGAAGCAAACGCGTTTGTTTTTCATACTATCCATTCCTCAGAAACGCTATGCCCAAACCATGGAATTATAAAAGGGGCTCGTCGGTATCATTTTACACATGTGCATATGAAGACTACAAAGGTTTAACCGCCAAGTAAGTCAAGTCATGCAATCTAGTACCTATACTTGTATATCTTTCTCTAGCCTCTAGTCTAAAACGATCCTCGTAATACCGGGATTGAAACATATGGGCATCGGTTTGAATTATGGGTTTGTATTTGTTTGACGTTCCCGGGCTGTGATGTTTCGGGTTGTGCTTCGCCTAAGTCACGTTTAAAAGAAACACACCCATCTGGGGGTGACTCCCACACCCTCACATCCTCCGTGCCAGCCAACCTGCAAGCTGAAGAAACTGTGCGAAGGGTGACTCAGCATCGAAGTGAATGCAAGCACCTCAAAGCTGCGAGCTCCGCATAATATGCACTGGTGGATCATGATGATCATGCCCGAACCCGATCCATCCAACGATCATAAGGAACTTGGAAGCTAACCCAGGCCCCTGCTTAGCCGTGAATTAACTCGACAGGCCCGGCCAACACGACAATAGATGGCCTAAAACCTACTACCGATGGCCTCCAATCTACTAGCGATGGCCTCCAACCTAGTAGCGATGGCCTAGATCGCCAAAGGAGCTTCAGTCACAATGTCCAGTGGGTTGTACCCATCGATAAAGCCTCATAAAACTACCCCTTCCATCCGCTGCCACCTTATTAGGTTCTCCTGGGAGTCTTGTCACCAGCCCGTTATTTACTAGCATGCTTAGCATGCTTTAAACATCTCATGAAATGGTCCTAGAGGGCCGAAATACGACAAACAAGGACAATAAAATTCAATAAAACACACAAATCCAGACCTCGTGTCTTTCGCAAAGCATGACAGCTCCAAGTCACCGAAAAGAAGAGCTCCAAGGACCGCCCCGGACGTGGCGCCCTGGGAGAACGGACGTGGCGTTGGCGGTTGTTTTGGTGGTTCTATCATGTTCTATCTGCTGTGCCCAAGAACAACAAATAGAACTCTCAAGATCTCTGAAGCCTGTAGACCTGGTGAAACATCCCTGATCTTCACAAGCACCAACAGCTTTGGCGAGGTTTTATGTAAGCAAACTTGTAATGCGTCCCGAGCCAACTGCGAGCTGCGCAATTTCTGAGCCTGAATTACCAAGAATGGCACCAAACCGATTCTACACTGACTTGAGGTCTCACTCTGCAAATCAATCTCCAGTGTGTCCCAAAAGGATTAAGGCTAGCCACACACCTCGTGCTCTTCAAACATGTTCAAACCTGTAAGCCCTGAAGCAGCAACCTCCCTGCCTGCTCCTTCGACAAAACGCCTCTGCCATTGTTGCCTCAATTGGCTATCGGGAAAAGACATGCTACAGTGGACATCTTCAGTGGGCACCATGCTTCGCAAAAAAACCCGCCGACAAGAGATCCAACATCACAAACATGGTTCCTGCATGTTCCTGCTTCCATTCAACAAAATTGCTAGGGAGTGATGACCCCTTCTTTGACCCAAAGGGCTTCTTCTCAAGTTAAGCATTTTCAGCGGCATGGACCCGGAGCCAGGCGCGGCACTGAGGGACTGGCCCAATTAATTCGCTGCAAGGTCCGTCTTTGTGGCGGCCGCAATCGAATGGCTTCGGCCCTGGCAAATCGACTTTGTATGGCTTCTACACACATTGGGTGATCATCATCCCTATAGTTGAACAAAATGTTTTTGTGCTTCATCTGAACAAAGATGGCTTTTAGACAACTGCGACGAGGAAACGGCCAAAGCTCTTGAGCCAAGAGCACCATTTCAACCAGCGAAATCAGCGCGTCTGAAAATGCGGAATCGGACTATGGACAGTTGCTCCATCGAGATAGACGATAGGTTTCCAACTGAATCCCTCTCAGTTTCCAACGTTTCAAATGAACCTGGGTGTACATCATATAAATCATATACATCATGTTCGTATGTATATATATACTATACAGTATATACACTGTACAGATCTGTACAGTATATCTTTTCACAAGCTTTTGGAAGCTTATGGAGCCACGTCATGACTCGAGTTGTTGGAATGTTGGCTGACAACAAAACGTGCTGCAATGGCTCAGGCTCCAAGCCGTCGCATTTTCGATGACAGGGTCTGAGGAAGTGCAACCTCTCCTAAGCAAACTTGCACCACCTGAGAACAAACCACTTCAGAGTTCCGCGGGCTGCTTTGTCAAATTATATTGCATTTGGTGGTGCAGGTCAATAATTAACGAAAACATACGAAAACACATCCAAATGAATCCACTTTTGGGCCTAAAAGCTCGAGTACTCCACTGGGTTTCGTCGGTTGCGAAACCTCACGTGGAGCAGGTTTTAGCCACTTGGAAAGTCGACGGGAATGGGCTTGTGCCATTTGACCATGTCCTCTCTCAAACAAGAAACACACAAACGGAGGTTCGACAGGATGCCGCTGCGGAGCTTTCTGAATTTGGAGAGGCCACTAGCAACTACAAGCTATTGGAAGGCTATTGGCCATCGGTGAGGGCTTTGCAAAAAGTTCTTGACGCCAAACAGTTCTTCCTTTCACAATCCTGTGATGGACCTGAGGCAAGGCCGGCCCCTAACAATGTATGCCACATCAATCTCAGCACCCCAAACTCTATTATGCCGTATGCTTGATCTCTGGACCTCCATTGCCCCCAGTGACCCTAGCATGCTTGGACAACTCCGCGGTCAAGCCAAGCACCACGTGGAGTGAATCAAAAATGAACATAAAAGGTTTTTCAGTATCCAGTATGAAGAACAACGATCGTGGGCACATATGGGCATCAAAAAATTGCTAGGCTAGGACTTTTTTCCTCGGTTTGCAAGCGATTATCTTGCAGTTTGGTCTATGTTCCCATTCCTCTCAGCCCTCCACTGGAGCAAGAAGATGCAGGCAGACATGGTCCCAAAAGACAAAGAGGATGCCTCAGCAAACAACTGCATCAAGCAAGGGAGCGATAGTGAGGCTCGCCACGCATGGAATGGACGAGAGTGAGGCTCGCTCGGACCCCAACTGGGTGCCTGGCCAGGACGGCTTTGGTAAAGCCCAACTGCTCCATGGACTCCACCAAAAGCTCGTGAAGGCAAACGTAGACCATGGCTCCTGCCCATGGAGCGAAACAAACCACTATATAAATATATATATATATATGTTTTTTCAAGGAGCTCATAGAGGAGTTCAAGGGATACGGATGATACGGCCAAACATTGTTGATTCTAAAAAACAATCTATGTTTTTTTAAACATGACCTACATGTTGACACTTAAACAAAATGTTGCCTTTACTCGGCCAGCACCATACAAGATTTGTCCTTCCCTTTTCCAGCCTACCGAATGACAACGGGCAGCTAACATCGGCTTGATTTGCAGGAGAACACTGAGGTGGACCTTAACCTTGCTAGTGTCGAATGAGAAACATCATTGTTCACCATCATCAGAAGTTTATGCCCGCACCAATTGCTCACATTGTTCCAAATTGGGTAGTCAATCCAAACCGGTGCACACTTCCTACGCCTGCACTTCCTTTGTCGTGAACCCACCGAAACGACCATCGACCACGGGATCTGCCCTTCGTGGCCGACCTTCCGACGGCATCTCGCCTGCAGAGAAGGCCAATCCGATGGGCAGGAGTCCTTGAAAGACCTGACGCGAATTGCAACAGGTTCCAAGGCGGGTCCACGCGGCTCTGGCGAAGATCTCCTATATATGATGGGCCAATGATGGGCCTAAACATGCCTAAACATATATTTGACATTATCAATCAAGGACTCCGAGATGCATTCTTACATCAATTTGGGAACTACAAGACTCACCACAGTTCTTTGCTCCTCTGCAAACCGAGTCACTTCTACGAAGAGAAATGCCGCCAGCGCCTGTCAGGATGAATATAATGTGCACTTTATATGCTGGGCCATCTTCAAATTGTTTCATCTTCAAATAGTTTTGCCCTTTGTTCTCTTGCCATCTCTGGCTATCCTTCTTGTTGGCTGGTTTTGTGAAGCCTTCCCGTTTCTGAAATATGAAAGGCACTTTTTGTGCAAAACTCTCACTTATCTTTCTCTGCGACGAATTCCTTTGAGGCTCCTTTGGGTGCACAAAGCTTTGTTGCTGCGCACCAGCACAGGCTGCGGCACGCTTGTCAGCGTAGCGATGAAGGCTGCCAATGTGGCCGAAACACCACCTGGGATTCAATCAGCCCCAACAACGGGCCGACATTTCTTTGGCCGAAAACTGGCGCCACCTTAATCCCAAGACGAAAGGGATTGCCTCGCAAGTCTGAATGCATCCAGCATCCTATCTGCCATGAGTCCAGGGGGATTCCCAAATTCGCAATGCTCAACACACATTTTAAACATCCGTCGAAAACAGTCGGACCAAGAGGCGGGGAACCAGAACGAGGGCCACGGCCAAGCCCTCGGGCACATTGTGCACCTTGCGGCAGCCGGGAGCATACAGTACTTTTGAGGCGCCGAGAACATACAGTACTTATGCGTCAGTAATCTGATGTCATATACACAACATATGAACGCACACAGCATAATTGTAAAGCATCCAATTTGTCGACTTGCCAGCTTTTTCATGGACATGTCAGCTAGTGCTTTGTGGCTGATTCAGACTCAATGACTGATGTGATGAGCACAAATTCCCTGTATGTCCCTTTCAATCTCTATGATATTTGTAGATGCACAGCATTTGTAGATGTCATCCCCAGAAAAGCATCTTCCATGCCTCACTTCTTTCCTCACCTCCCTCGGTGGGAGACTGTGACCCAAGGACCCCACGGCTAAAAGCAATGAGATGTAGATTCCAAACTCATGATTCAGCTGCCTCACAAACGCTCAAAAAGCCGTGCGATGGGTGCCGGAAAAAGGCCGGAAAAGCACCGAACGCTAATGCGCTCCAGGAACAGACTGCTCTGACTGCTCTCTAGGAACTGTAAGTTTGGAGAACAAGTCTCACAAATATTCTTGGAAAACATAATAGCTCAAAAACACAACAATAACAATAGCACAACAATTCTAGCAAACCCGCAAACTGACAAAAAGGAAGCTGTAGACTTACGACCTGGATACCAAACTCTGTTTCCATGTGTTTCCTTTATCTCGTCAATTTCTCAAAACACATGCTTCAGTCCACCTTTGAGAGGTTCTTTGGGAGTCCTTCTGGAACGAGCTCCATTCCGTTGCCCGCTCCGGACCCGTGCGCTCGGACAGTTGCCGCAGACCGCCTGCTAAAGGCAACGCCTACAGCGATGCCTTCGGCGGCGGAATGACAGAACCTTGGCCACGTTGCCGGTGCCGTGCAGCATTTTGGTGGAAAATGAGGTCTGTGAAGGAGCGTGTTTGGTTTGCTTCGAACTTAGGACTCCTTCGGACTTGTTGGTCCACAAGAACTCGCGGTCATCCTGATGTGTTAAACTCACCGACATGGTGAAACTGAGTGAATGCTAGCGGATTAGGCCCAACATCATAACATTCTGATTGATACAGCCTGTTGATTGTAGTGTTTAACTCTCAAAAAAGGACATGTTGGAAAGCCCTTTGATCAACGGAGTAGAACATGTTCGACGTCGGCTTTGCATGCGTGTAGTCTGTCAACGAGGTTGTGCGACAGGTCTGGGTACCATACATTACAGTAAAAATCAGCATGGCTTTCCTCCACTGCTTCCTGGCAATTGCAGGCCAACCCTTCACTCACTCCGAGGAACGGCGAACAAATCTGGGAACTCGTTACTAGTGCATCGCTAGTAGTAACAAGTGCCACGCTAGTAGTAACAGGTGCCTTACTAGTAGTAACAAGTGCAATGGATTGCACACACCTTCAACGAGGATCTTTCCCAAGGAGTGCCGTCAGACTGGCAGAATTTGTTGTCAATACAGTTTCCGCAAAATGCTGCTCTTGGCAGCCCAAACCCCACAGGAGCTCTTGTCTGTCCAACATGTTATTTTATGTTATTTTTAACAGTTCGCTCCAACGTTGGTCCTCTCCAGTAGCGCATCGTGGAGGGCTGCGATGCCTTCTTCCTGTCAAGCGCCAAGCAAACCGAAGGAGGTTCCGCGCAAAACATGAGGGTCTTGGTTAAGACCCAAATATGTGGGAAGAAGGGAGGAGTTGAACACTTGCAGTCTCAGCTGTGGACGTGGGCCAAATGCAAACAGTTCACAACGTGGGGAGTGTCTGAAATTGAAAGCCATGGGTATAATGCGATTGGAGGTCGCTAGCTGCGAACAGTTACAAACGCCTCCACTCAAAATGTTCAGACTGACTCCATGCTTTCTTTATGGCTCATGGATCAATGACATGATAGGACCAATAATCACCTAGCTGATCCAAGAAAAGCGGCAGGAGAATGAGTGTGCCAAAACTCAAATCTCATTGCCAATGAATCCCAGCCGCGCCCATGCCTCTTCTTCATCAACGCCATGCAAGCGTTCGCTCGCACGAATAAAAAGAGCACCCGCCTCTATCGACAATTCGCGGATGAGCGTTGTGATCAAGCATAGTCACATCTGATGCCGTTCAACATTCTAATGATCAGAACTGCTCCAACGCAGCTGTCCACGCATGCCTGTTCTAAGCATACAGAATGACAAGCGTTGCTCGAGGATGTAACGACACTAAATTTCTAAAGCTCTCAACTCAAAAAGCAGATCCTCCCAGCGGCTAGCAGTTACACTTTGTGACCGTATGGCAAACATGTAGCCGTGCCCAAACCATTGCACAAATGAACAAGGCATGCTGGGATCACCCCAAGACCAACGAAAAGCTGCCAATCCATTGTGCCGCAGTGCTCATGTGCCTCTCAAACAGAAAGCGCGTCGGGATGCCCTCTGAACAAAATTCAAGAAGCGATATTTGTTCCTTTCAAACCAGGAACTTCGGGAAGCTACAAATGTTAACCTTCAAGTGACCATTAAGGTCAAAAGCTTACTTCGGATTTCTGCTGGAACCCAAGATCATTTACATTACGTCAAGGGACCCTGCAGTGAACCTCTCACACCAATGCCAATGCTCTACTGGTTGAGTCCACAGCGATTCTGCAGCACCATTTGGTGCCAGTTGTTTTTTTTGTTTAACCTGAAATCGGAAACCAGTGGATGCTGCCATGTCTTTGGACCCATCTTGAGAGCCTAGTGATTTCCCTCCAGTTGGTTTCCAAACGAAGGCCGCCGAGGTTTAGCGAAGCCTCGAAGACCATGGACGCTGAGGCCGCCAGCATCATACCAGCTGCGACGGCCTGGTCACAAGTCGGCAAGTGACAACTGATGCGAATTGGACAAGCCAGTTGGTTCCACAGCAGTTTCTTGGTTGGCAACCGTGCCAGCTGGTTAGCAGCTCACAGCTTGTTTTAGGGTTTTGGGAATCATCCTTAACACTGAAATTGTGAAACATGGAGATCATAAAGTGCTTTTGGTACAGCACAGTTTTGAATCATTGGCTGCAAAAGGGAAGCACAAGTTCAAGCATGTTGTTCTACAACATGTAACCAGTCACATCTTCAACTAGAAAGGTTGGAATATGTTGGACAGAGGTCCCATGCTTTGGAGTCACAAACGCGGATCCTTTTTGAGCCAATTAAACAACCTTCCCAAGACATATCACCACAATATCTAATGTCTCAAAACACCAACACATTTCAGTCCAGAAGATAGGATTTTTTTTCTAAAAACCTGAGCCAAATCATTCGTGCGAGCGCTTCTTCAAGGAAGCTCCACCGCCCTCAGGCTGGGGGAACTTCCTTGAAGAAGCGTGATTTATCCTGCGTTCATAGCAGCTTGCTCCCTTACTCCCTAACTTAATTAAGTAGGCGCCTACTTATTTTAAGTAGGATCGGAACTGGTTTAAAAAAAACACAAAGGACTGTTGCGCGTTGCGGTTATTGGGCCCCTTCATTGACCTGCATAGCTCTTTTCAAGTGCAATCTGCAACCCGCAACCAATCTTATCTGCAATGCTCCTTGCCGCCATCTGAACAAACAACATTAAACAGAACCCCCCAAAAAACACACACACATTTCTAGACCAGTCCAATCCCAAGAACCCCCCCCCAAAAAAAATAACAAAGATGTCAGAACTATGCAATCCCAAGAAACCCAAAAAAAACAAAAAACAAAGAGTTCAGAACTATGTTGACGATTAGATTAGTATGGAAATCTTTGTTTGTTTTGCTTTTTTGGCTTTGTCATCCAGGATCAATCCAGATTATATAATCTGAAGTAATCTTGCTCAATGAACCCTACATGTCTGCTCCACACTCAAACCTTCATCTGCTGCTCATCTGCAGGATGTGGCTTGTAGCTCCTATTTGCTTTCCTTGCTCTCTGTTTTTTTTTCATTTCTCCTATCTTATTTCTGATTAAAAATCATATAGCTTCCTTCTATCCTCATCAGTCTTGAGCCTCTTACATTCATACAGCATAATGTTATTATTGAACATCAAGTCTATACAGTGATTAGCATAGGCTTCAAACTCAAACACATTACTTAACACTTTTGGATTATTGAGCTTCTCATCACCATAAGATATGCCAAAAAACTAGTTGATGGTTACTGCTTCTGCACCGCATTTTTTGTTTCAATTTATTAGTGGGCACTACAAATACAACTTTGTATTTTCTCTCCTGTAGGTGTCTACATATACAGTAAATGACTTGCCTGTTCCTGCAACACCACCTCTAACCATCAGCCTCTTTGTTAGCAAGATGTGTTCATTGATAATCTCATCAGTGTTCCATTCATTTTTCACACCACCGGTTTCATTTGAATACTATGTAATGTTTTCTAAGAAGCTTGGTTTTCTACAAAAGGGTTGTGATGGAGACCTGAACCTATTACAATACTTCCATTCACCAATATCATTGCCACACGTTACAAGACTCTCTGCCTTCCCCAAATTATTTGCCCTCCCTAAATTACATGTACCAATCACAATGCATCAGTCTTTACTGAATACACCTGTATATCAATCTGCTTCAGTTTCTCATAGGCAACATTCATACTGTGGTTATGGTTTTGTAAAATCATCTCTTTGATAGACCTATATCCATTCTTTAGACTGTTGATGTCACTTATGCTTAAAACATACTGCTTATTCACATTCAATTCTTTTTGGAACACAAATTCATGTTGCTCCTCATCTATCTAATGTTCATTGCCTTTCATCTCTCTCAATTAAGCAATCATCATCACTAATCATAATTCTCTCCTCACCCTCCTTCATATATTCAGTGATTACATTTATGTCGCCACCATATATCTCTTGATAGTAAAAGGCATCAACCATATTAGAAAGGCTATGGACCTCTTTCCTACATTAGTTTGTTTTCTCCAGTAGTCCAATTTTGATAGAAGAAATCATCTTATTTTTCTTACCCTTCTCTTCATCCTCATCCAGTTTTAAACTATACAAGTCATCAATCAGTTTTTTGTACTGGACCTTGTATGTATTAGATGGCACTGTGAAATAAATGATTCCAACAACACCAGCATATTCCTTCAAACCCTTTCCATAAATCAAGTTATGTTCTGTTGAGCAATATGTTCCTAACCTTGCTCTTCACAAAATACAATGTGAAAGAGTTTATCTTGCTGAAATCACACATTTGATAATCATATTTCTTCCAACTATCAAATTCAGAAAACACCGGTATCCTGACAGTGTCAATTGGTGCTATGGTGTGTGCCATTGAAAAGATGTTCATATCATCTTTGTGATAGTAGGACTTGTGAGTGGGATTGAACATCCCCTTGTTGAAGTTGAACATTAGTTCATTCACGCTATTGAATGTTATCAGCATCACTACTTTCAATACAAATATCTACAGCACAGTTTATCAAACTCTGACTTCTGATGTTCAAAGTCAGATGGTTGAACTTGAATTTGATTGATGAACTGTTGCCACCAACTCCCATTATGATTTTGGGTTCATACTTTGCTCTCTTGAACTCACAATATACATCATTAAGTTCCCTTCTACTTTGTCACATCACTGATGTCAATAACCTTGATGGCAGTTGTATAGTCTTCAATGTTAGGATTTTGTGTTATTGGTTTCCTATTTGTTTTAACCAATCTCTTAAACACTTGTTTAAATAGTTCTGTGTTATGTATTACTTCAAACTCTCTGCATTTGCCTGTCATATTATTTCGCCAATTTCAACTACATCGACAAGCTCTTGAAGGAAGCATTGGCCACCTGATGCTAAAAGGGGAGCGCAAACAAACTGACCTCCTGATTCTTTTTAACCTTGCCCTGCATCAACTATGTAAGAAGATTGATCTAGATTAAATCTTCAGAACCCTGATTTCTGCAACCAGCAACAGTCCCTTCTCTTAAAAAAATGAAATCATCCACGGGACCTGGGAGGTTCCATATCTTGACACAGGTTGCCGCATTCAAGACTGCAGGCAACCTTATATTGAACATATTTCACCGGTTTTTGGTGATTGACGGCTTTCCGCACCATTGAAAGCCCTAATCTCACAAGGCCATCATACTTCTACAAGAAAGACTTCCATTCGACCACCGATGGGCCGGATCATATTGGGGGGGCATAAAGCCCTTCCTCACCCCTAGACGCTAAGCTTTAAACGTCCCCAACATAAGCCCAAGCATCCCAGCCTTGAACCTACTAGAACCGTCCCCCCCTCCCACACACACATACTTAGACTTAGATCCTTGCTTGCAAGAGCTGTATCAGTTTGGAAAATCAAAAGATACTGCAATTAGACCGTTGGTGCAATTAGACCTTGGCTGATGGAACAGAATGGCGGATGGGTCCGAGGAACAGAATTGTTTGACCGGAAAATTGGAGTAACAGCTTGGTCAACAGTTCACAAAACAGGTATGAGTGAAACGATGTCCTCCAGCTGCGTCTTAAATGCGCCCAGGAGCGACAAAAGCAGGTACGTTCTCAGCACCACACCAACAGGCGCTTCGTTGGCCACTCCCTGTGGTGGGTGGAGTGGCCCCCTGCTTGACTGTACATGTAAGGGTGAGGAAAAGTTAGAGATCTAGTTACTGGTGGTGTCAGAGGTCCTTAGGAACAGGACCCAACACACACACA